TTATCCCTGCCCTCCGGTTAAAATTACCACTGTCCAAGCAATTCTTTCCATCTCTTTCCCTCCCTGCTTACCTGTCTATGTCTGAAACACTGTTTTCTCTCTTTACTTTTTCACTGTCCAGTTATTCAGTTTAATTCTCCAACTCTACAACCGTGGCCCCCCATCACTTTGAAGTATTTTTTCTGATGTCCTAAAACCCATAGCACCTTCTCCATTCCTTTCTAAATGTACCCATTTTATCTTCATCTATATGGTATAGCTCCTCCATCTTATTTATATACTCAATCCTGTCTATCCAATCTTTCATTGTTGGAGGGTCCTGTACCTGCTAAAATGTGGGGATTAGACCTTTTGCCACACTAAGTAGATGATATAATATACTATTTTTATATTGTTTCACTGACATCTCAGAGTATAAAATAGGCATGCCCATGGGTCCTTCTGAATAATTATCCCCAAAATCTCCTGTATATATTGAATTATATTCTGCCAGAAAACCTGTATTTTTGGGCAATCCCATCATATACGTGCCATTGTCCCCCTCGCCCCACATCCCCCCCAACATGGTGGTGAAACCTCTGCTCATTGTCTATGTGCCATACTTGATGTGAAATACCATCTGGTTAAACATTTATAATTCATTTTGACTGTATTCATATTCATCACCCCGTGCATCAACTTAAACATTTTATTCTTCTGTTGCCCATTCATTTTTGTACCCAATTCTCTTTCCCATTTCTCTAAGAACGCTGAAGGTTCAGATCCGATCTGTTCAATAAGAATCTTATATATCATAGAGGTTACATGTTTATGTACTATCATGGCACTCAACATTTTTTCAAATGGAAACATGTTCTCCGGCATCCTCAGTGGTCGGGGGACTGTTGAGACAAAATGTCCCAATTGACAATATCTTAATTCATCAAATGTAAAAAATACATCTTTTTTTACCTTTTAACTCTTGAAAAATGCATAACTTCTCCTTATCTACAATGTCCATTAACCGTGCATTACTATCTTTAAACCACTGCGCAGAAATAATATCTTTCCCTGGTGAGAAAAACTCTGTACCCACAAGGGGCATCAACAATGAATTATACTTCCATTCAATTGACTTCTGCAACCCATCCCATATTTTCAACACCTCCCGTGTTAGTATACTACTATTTTCATCTATGACCCAAAACTTTTGTGGAATCCAAATGATCCTCTCTAGTTGTATATTACATAATATACCTTCCATTTTAACCCAACTTTTTTCTTGTGAATTATGTGTCCAGTCTACCACCCATGATAACATCACTGACATATAATACTTCCTCATATCTGGCAGATTTAGTCCTCCTTTCTCTTTATTGTTACATCCTTCATCCTTAATTCCTGGTTTCTTATTAGCCCATATAAACCTCAGTATCAATTTTCTTATTATCCTAAAATAAGATCCTGGTAGATATGTTGGGAGCATTTGGAATTTATATAGGATTTTTTGGGACTATCACCGTCTTAACCAGATTTATATGCCTGGCGCACCCTGAAAACCCATCTCTTCAGGGAAGCCTACCACGCCCTTACCTAACAGCCGATCTCCTCGACTCCTCCTACCACTCCATCCCCCACAGCCATTTCCTCCTGTACCACTATCCCCTCCCTCCTAGATTGTAAGCTCCAAGGAGCAGGGCTCTCGAACTCCACGTGTATTGTTGTATTGTTACTGTATTGTCTCATGTACTGTCCCCCACTATAATGTACAGCGCTGAGCAAACTTTTTGGCGCTATATAAACACTGTATAATAATAATAATAATAAAATGCCCAATTCACGAGACTCGACCCATTGAGAGTCTTCTCAACTCATCTTTAATTTCATTCATTAATGGAATATAGTTGGCTTGATATAAGTTCTTTATTGAGGAGGTTAGCTTTATCCCCAGATAGCCTAGTTCCCCCTCCCTCCATGGAAAAATCTTCTTGCAGAGTCTGCATCTCTACCTTTTGAAACATTGATATTTAAGATCTAAGATTTTGAGGGTTTATTTTCAGGTTAGACAGCTCTCCATATTGTTTTAGTAATCCCATTAAATTAGGCAACGTCAGTCTAGGGTTAACAATGCAAAACAGTATATCATCTGCATACGCTGCTACCTTATGCCTCTAATGGAGGCTGCCTAAAATAAAGACTGCTCGACCCCCCCACAGCCAGACCCTACCTGATTCAGATGACCGGTGTTGTGGGTGCACCTGTAGCATCCCTGTTGTGTCCCTGCTCCTGACCTCTGGAGTGTGTCCGGTCCTGTTCGGTCTGCTGGTTGGGGCGGTGAGGAGTGCCCATGGCTCTGGCACTATGGCTGGTTGTTGGACCATGCTAGGGCTGTGGAGGGTGCCCGAGGCGGGTCTAGAGACTGCGAGGCAGCCAACAGTGATGGCGGAGCCCTATCTGGGGAGTTCTACATAGGAGGGATGGATAGGAGGGACTGGTGCCTGTCGGTATAGGTCCCTGTGGAAGCATGGAGGAAGCAGAGTGAGGAGGAAGGAAAAAATTATTAGAAGAAATCATTGGAAGGACAGACCGGGGGGACAACCCAGGAAGGACTGCTGGACTGATTTATACCTGAAGGAGCAGGAGACCCTGAGACACCTGGAAGCACAAGACACGCTGGACAGTTTGAAGTGTCCGCCCAGACCCCCCCACAGGTTGACTCTGTATGCAGGGCCGAGAGGCTCTGACAGGGACTGAGGAGCATATACAGAAATGGATCTGGAGTACTAGGTTTGAACGGTGATAATGAGTTGTCATGGGCAACGGCAGGATGTTTAAGCCACTATTGTTTCTGTGAAAGGTAAACGTATAGCTGAGAGGTGGGGCTGGACGATCTGAGGATTAAAGTGCTGGGTGATCTCAGAGGTTAAGTGAGTGCTCTGATATCTCATATCATTTAGGAATTATCCTGGACTGTATATGTGACAGAGAAAAACAAGGTGGAGGGGCCTGCCATAGGTGTGACATTATCACTTGAGAGCAGTGAACAGATAAGTAGTGGATAAGCTCAATCAATATGAAGAGTAGATCCGCGAAGAGTGGAGGGGCAAAAACCCCGCAATCTATCACAAATATGAGTACAATTAAGAAATATATGCCAATTCAGGAAAAAAGTCCAGAGATACAATGCCCTGAGAAACAGCAGGAAGGAAGCAGAAAGTATGATGGGGAGCAATCTAGACTGTCATTTGGTGTGAAATTTGACAAATGAATCTATAAACAGTGACAACACAATAGATCAAAATGTGATGGAACAACAGGGAGCCAAATCTCAAATTCCCAAAAAAATGAGATAGCGTATATGTTTGCAAAACTGTAACTCTCCATGAAAATTTAAATGGCAGTGATTCATAAGGATTTGGAACGAATGTTAACAAGAGTGGAAGAAGTAGAAGGGAAAATGGAGTCCCAAGCCCAGCAGATTATCAAACTAGAAAGGCAGATGGAAGAGATGAAAAGGGAATCAGAGGAAGCGATCTTATAAATTAGAGGATCAACAGAATAGAGAGAGAAGAAATAATTTGAGGATCCGGGGACTACCGAAGACTCAAGAGAAGAGGACCTAGTGGAGAAATGAAGGAGTGTGTTCAACCCATTGCTAGGAAGATCTGCCACAGACCCCCTAATGAGTGAGAGAGTGCATAGATCTAGACGTCCACCAGGAATTACATTAAAACATTCAAGAGATGTGACTGTCCGTTTTTACAATCATGAGGATAGAGAGAGAATATGGAAAAAATATGTGAGGCATCTGAAATAAAATTATGAGAAATGAAGTTGCAAGGGTTTGCGGATATAAATAGAATGGAATAAACGAGCGCTGGATAAAAGTGATAATGATAAAAAGCCGCTGGCATAAAAGGCAAAACCTCAAAAACCTCCTTATAAAATACTAAAACATGAATATGCAGCGCTAAAAGCTAGATAATAATTTCTAAAATACAGTATCCATGATGAACATATGCAGATATACAATAGAAGGCTTGGTGCAAAGACTAATAATGTGAAAATATGCTGGATATCTAGAAGACAGAGCCAAGTGTATAAAGTGACAATGGTGCCAAAGTCAATAAATCCGTAGGTGTTGTAAAATGCTAAGAGAAATCCGTGACATCTGTGGTAAAGAAAGTGCATGTCGATTGAACTAACCGGATAGCGCAAAGAATTGTGCGTTGGAGTAAATAAGATCTTCTCCTGGGCACTGGATCCGAGACACTGCAGCATGGATGGTCGTCAGGTCAGCAACCTCCAGGCACTCTGTGGTTTATTTACTAAAGCTGGAGAGTCCAAAATCAGACTCCCTTCTGCATAGAAACCAATCAGCTTCTAACCTCAGCTTGTTCAATGAAGCTTTGGCAATGAAACCTGGAAGCTGATTGGTTTCTATGCAGAAGTGAGTCTGATTTTGCACTCTCCAGCTTTAGTAAATAAACCCCTCTGTGTCATCTCCAGGTGTTCCATAATGTTAGGTGTCCTATGTGTGTGGATGTTGTTGAATTATTAAAAATTATTAGTTTATTTTTTTTTTACATTTTAGAATGGGGTGCCTCAAGATTGTGCATAATTTTAAAGGGTGTCTTGATTGAAAAAAGGTTTAGAAACACTGGTCTATATAAATCATTCTCCAGCATACCTATCTCTGAATTCATTACATCAGAAGATTTGATTGATTTGTTTGGGTAAGGCTTAGTTGGGCATTTGTGCTAAACACATTTCCACTGTTTTGCCTATGCTGAACATCAAAGTTAACCACTTGCCTACAGGGCACGTATGCCCCCTTCCTGCCCAGGCCAATTTCCAGCTCTCAGCGCTGTCACACTTTGAATGACAAGTGCGCGGTCATGCAACACTGTACACATACAACATTTTTTTATTATTTTTTTGTGACAGATAGAGCTTTATATTTAATCACCTCTGGGTTTTTTATTCTTTCTTAAACAAACCAAAAACCACTGAAAATTTTGAAAAAAAAAGTTGTTTCTTAGTTTTTGTTATATAATTTTGTAAATAAGTGATTTTTCTCCTTCACTGATGTGCGCTAATGAGGCTGCAGTGATGGGCACTGATAGGCTACACTGATGGACACTGATAGGTGGCACTGATGGGCACTGATGAGGAGGCACTGGTAGGTGCAACTGATGGGCACTGAAAGGCAGCACTCATATATGGCATTGAGATAGGCAGCACTAATAGGTGGCACTGATAGGCGGGATGACCTCCCAGAACGAGAGAACCACCTTGCGTCCGTCATTGCACTATATGGCGGGCGGGAGGTGGTAATTGGCATTAGAAAACAGCTGCTGCAAAAGTGACTGCACAGCTCATTCTCAGTTTTCATGGGACTGCGATTGAGCTCTGCAGTCACTTTTGCAGCAGTTGTTCTCTTATTCCGGGTCACAGTCCTGCGCAATGTCCTTTTGTTTTTTTCACTCAGTTGACCATGTCGACTGTGATTATGCTTATCAGACGATGTTTTCCCGGAAACTGTATATGCCATCATAACCATTGATAGTGTGCCTCGCAACACCGCATATAAATTGACAGCTTCAGTCACAGAGGCACCAGCTAAGCAGGCACCAACACTTTGAAGCTCAGTAAGCTCTGATATGACTCCATATTAATAGCAGTGCATGCAGTGAGTGACAAAAGTAAGGCTTCCCACTAGTTAGCTAGGTGTCTCATCACACAGCGGAAGCAAAAGAATGTTACATCAGTTCTGCTTTCAACACGAAACATCATTATTTTCACACCTGCCAATCATGTAGTGTTTCCATTTTTTGTCTAACCCCTGTATATGGCAATAATAAATAAAAGGGAATGTCAAAGTGAACAAAAGAACTTAATATGCCAAGGGCCAGTTTAACAGGTGCAATTATTACTTCCGATTGTAAACATATATATGTAGGCAGAGGTGCATATGAACCTCCTTTATACTTTTGTGTGTGTCACCGTCAGTGTCCAAAACGCTCATCAGATAAGCAAACTCCAGGCAGGTGGTGCCGTGGTTGGGATTTGAACCAACAACCCTAGTACTGCCAGGTGGAAGTGCTAGCCATTTAGCCAATGTGTTGACCTATATGCAGGGTCCCTAATAGCCAGCTTGCAAACATCAATAATCCATAATGATTACCAATAAAGAAAATAAGAAACTGTGTAGAAAGTTAATTTAAAACTATAAAATAAACGTTAGAAAGACTCACATTGCTGAGTTCTAGCCAGCAAAACATAAAGTTCATACAATCCATCATAGTACCAGCCCCGTACCTGTGTGAATGCTGATACAAACTTCATAATCTTTTTACATCCACACATCTAGAAACAATATGAAGTAGACTCCAGGCAAAATTAGGAAAACATGCTTTGTGTAATTACACTATATTTGTGTAGATTGGAGTTTAACTTCTAGAAGAAGTACTATGGGGTTTATTTTTATATCTCCACTTGATCAAAAAAATGTTCTCCCTATTGCTAAATTTACATGTCTAGCATTGGAGGTAATGAAGGAGAAAGCTTTGCTATAAAAAAAAAAACAACAACAAACAAGATTTTTTCAAAATCTCTAGATACAGTTTCTTTTTTTTCCCTCAGTAGGATCTCGGTGATAACCAGCATATTTTTTCTTATGTTTGTTATTATATTTTGGAATTTTTCTATGATAAGCACAGTTTGCCCTTATTCAACCTCTTAACATTGGCTTGATTGCATACCAAAGAATTAGGAGATTATCTAAAGAATCTGTATTTATGCTTCAAAACTCAAAATATTTCCACATTTCTAAAATCATCTTTTGAAAATTTGGTATTTTACGTAAGCAAGTGGGGAATCTCAAGAGTTTGTGAGTATTAATTACTTGGTACATATGAACTCTATGACCGCAGGGATGTGGTCATGGCCCAGAATTTACAAAATCACCATAGATTGAACATCAGACAAACACAAGACAGTGTTTTGTACGGTATGCCTTTGAAAAATAGGTATATTATTTTTTATATTTGGAAGAATTTCCAAGAATCAGCTAAGCCAATACTATCATAGCATAAATCTGAGACCTTGTGCTTTACATTCAGCACTTTATAGAAGGCTTGAATCAAAAATAGGGTCCAAGCAAGTAGGGTTAGATTAGGGGGGGGGGCCCTGGACACATCAGGTTTTTTTTTTTTGGGGGGGGGGGGAATTATACACAGAGTTGTTTTACATTCTGAGTAACAGCCAAACATTTTTAAATTGCATGGCACAATGTCATTCTGAGGTCACTCATGCACATTTGCTTGAGCTTCCAAAATTTGTTTTTATAAACAATACAATATACCAGTCCAGAGTGAAAACTTTTCCAGATGATGGCTTGCAAAATATTACTTCCCAAGCTACATTTAATAAAAGGAAGTATTTGTTTATCATGCATACAAAACAAGGGTTTTCTTAGAATAGCAGATTTTTGTGATGACCAGGGCTTCTTGTCAAAATGCACACAACAAAACAAACATCAGCTACCTGTAACTGAATACTATCGCTTTGCACAGATACAGCATTTCTTCTAAGTATTAGCATGCCACTCTAAAGTGACCACTTTGACTACAATGGAACACTTATGCCAAAATATTGACAAGATCCCAAGCCTTAGGTCTGTGATATACTCTATTGTTACTTCAAAACAGGAGAAATTACCTTACATGGTAAAGTGGGAACAGGATTTGGATGAAGACCTAGATCTCCCATTATGGCACAACTTGGCTATAAAGACTTCTAAATCTTTTATAAATACTTCCATAATTTAAGCCCATTATAAGGTTTTGTTAAAATGGTATATGGTACCCACCAAATTAGCATTCTGTGTTTTAGGAGCCTCCATCAAGTGTTTTAGGGGATGCGGAGAGGGCACAGACTATTATATATAGTGGCCTTTACTGAAGGTAAAGAGATTTTGGATACAAGTTCATACTTTTATATATTCCGTAACCCAAATAAATCTCAAAAAATCCTTGTGGCATGCTTTACTGGGCAGCCCCATAGATGAACCACCAAAACATACTAAAAAACTGATTTTATCTTCATAGCAGCTAAAATAGCAATTATTAGATCGTGGAGGTCTTTGTCTATCCCGTTTACACTGGTAAACTCAAAGCTAGCTTGGATAATGATAAATGAGAAGTTGTCGCTATATTGCAGGATAAAGTACCTTTATTTGAAACAATATGGGAACCCAGGAAAAAAAAATTTCTAAAGGGCACTGCATTGAGTAATAAACTGGGCCCACAGGATGGACAAAGAAATGGACTACATCTCTTGTGTGTATTTTCTCCTGTCTTTTCATCTTTTTTTTTTCATCTTATTTTTTATTGTTGCCCCTTTTTTGTCATGCTAACTGTATGAGATCATATATGCTGTGGTCTTCATCAGCATTGGTACGGTCACAATACGTTCTTCTTAAATGAAAATTTGTAAAATGATTCCATATTATCATGGCGATCCTGAATGCAGGATCAGGGCTGTGGATAAGGGGGTAGCACCAGTCCTCCTGTACAGGGTCCAGGCCAGCAGGGGGGCCTAGGCTGGGTGAATGAGATGTGGGCAGGGAGAGTGATCGACATGGCAGGGGGACTGATCCCCTGTATAGCTCCCTCAGCAGCAGCTGAAAGCCTGCTTCTTCTCCTCTCCCTCCCGCTGGCTTTCAGCTGCTGCAGAGAAATCCATACGGGGTTCGGTTCCAGTGATTGCCCCCCACCCACAAACATCACCCTCCCTGTGAACCGTTCATTTCCCCCTGCTACCCAGGCCAACCTGTGTGCCCCCACCCTCACAATGCTGCCGGCTTCCCTCTGTTGCAAGCACACAATGAATTTAGAGTGGGGGGAGGGTCCAGGAAATGTGTCATATTTACCATCCCCTTCCTTTAATAAATGAACACAATGAGGGAGTTAAGGATCACTTACTGTGTTCATTCATAACTAAAGAATAGTGTTTTTTTTTGTTGGAGGGGGGCTGTCAGGTTGGCTGTATGGGGCCCCATGGTTTCTAACAGCAGCAGGATACACAATAAGGCTCCATATACACTGCAGCTGATAAACTCACGTATAGGAGCTTTTCTGCGTTTTTTCAGCAGCCCCTGAACTCACCCTAATGTTTTCCTATGTGTCCATGTACACTATGTCATTTACAGGCAGTTGAGTTTACAGTCGTTTTTTTGAACCAAACTTGCATTAAGGAGTAGATTTTATCAGCATTTCAAACGCCAAATGCTTGTAAACGCAGCTAACCGCATTTATAAGCATTTGCGTTTGGAAAATGGTTTTAACTCTTCCATTTCCAGATGCTGTCCAGAGCCTTTTTTTTCATGAAAAATGCATGCAAAGCATTTTCCCGGTCCTCAAATGGACCTGGCACACCATACTTTGAGGTTTCGCATGAAAGAAAATATGTTAGACACTGCTGCAATAATTTCTGCACAGAAATGAGCTGAAACACATCCAAACACCACAAAAAAAAAGACAGCTAATCTCAACAAATACTGCTCTCTCTGCTTCTGTTCTTTCTATTTCTCTCAAAATGTCTGAAATAGTTAATTTTTTTACTGTTTTTCAGTGCATTCTGGGCATTTTGGAAGGTCTCCTGAGGTTATCTTTAAAAAAACCTGCAAACGCTCATAAATGTGCATAAACGCAGTAGGCAAACGCGGCTAAACAGACGTTTTTTTAACCTACGTTTTTCAGCAGTCAGTTTCCATCATTCAGAAGTGTCCCGTGTACATGGGGCTTTACTCAGAAAACCTTGTATCACACTTGTTCGAGAAATGTGCCATGTTATATATATAAATATGTCATATATCTTGAATTGTTTTGTTGTTTAAAACAATAAAAATGATTGGAAAGAAAAGTGACTGCATACAACATGTCTCCACCTGAAACCCAACACATCTTCCCTGATGTGTTTCACCACTCCTGGCTTGCTCCTTTTCCCCTTGTAAGCAAGGGGTCAGCATTTTTTTTTTGTTCAGTTCCCCTTTAAGGAGTTCTATAGTCACAGCATACACTATCATTTTTTAACATCAGCATTGTAATCAGAAAACAAAAAACAATAGGTATACTTGAAAAGCCCCTATGAGCCTACTACAAAAATCTCCTTTCAAGTTGTGTCTTCTGTCCAGGGGCGGACTGACCATTCGAGCACTCAGACACTGCCCGAGGGCCCAGGGTCAGTAGGGGGCCTCATGA